TTTCCAATGCAGGACCTCTAATTTCCCAATTATTTTACTATTACCACCCAATCAAAAGATTTGCAAATTATTTAACAATATCTTTTTCCAACTTTTCCAGGCTCTCGTCAACAATTCAACACCTTAACTGGTGTCATTGATGCCAATACCGTCTATGGTGTAAATGAGAAATTCGCCCGCAAACTACGTACCGGCTATGGTGGTTTACTGCGCATGAACCCTGTCTTCAATGAATATGGTCTTAAGGATTTATTACCTCTCAAGTTAGACATTCCCGATGAAGGTTGCACTAGACCCAACAAGAGTATGTTCTGTTTTGAAGCCGGTGAGATACGTGTCAATGAACAGTTGGTCTTGACCTGCATGCACACCTTAATGGCCAGAGAACACAATCGTTTGGCTACCGGTTTAGCGCATGTCAATAAACACTGGGACGATGAGACTCTATTCCAGGAAGCCCGTAGAATTAACATTGCCATTGTACAACATGTGACATACAATGAATTCTTACCCATTTTGCTGGGTAAGGAAGTTATGGAGAAATTTGGTTTGGTTTTGCAGAAGGATGGTTATTGGGATGGTTATGATCCTAAGGTAAATCCCGGTATTATTGATTCATTTGCTGGTGCTGCTTTCCGTTTTGGTCACTCCTTATTGCCAACAGCTGTGGAACGTTGGTCTAAGGCTCATAAGTTTATTGCCTCAAAGAGATTGTCCGATTTGATTAGACGTCCTTATGATTTGTACAGAGCTGGTGTTTTGGATGAATATTTTATGGGTTTAATGAATCAAGTGGCCCAGGCTATGGACGATTCTATAACACAAGAAGTAACAAATCATTTGTTTAAGAAAGAAGGTGCTAGATTTGGTATGGATTTGGTGTCGTTTAATATGCAACGTGGTCGTGAATTTGGTATACCCGGCTATATGGAATTCCGTAAATTCTGTGGTCTTCCCACTTCAAATACCTGGGATGAAATGTTTGGTTCTATGCCCAATGATACTATTTTGAGATATCAATCTATATTCGAGTAAGTTAGAAGGCAATACTTGAGATATTTTAAAGAACAATTAATTAATTGTAATTTTCTAAAAATAGACATCCTGCTGATATTGATTTATGGTCTGGTGGTGTTTCGGAGAAATCTTTGCCTGGTTCTATGTTGGGTCCCACTTTTGCCTGTGTCATTGCCACCCAAATGAGTTATATAAGACGTGGTGATCGTTTCTGGTATGAGTTGCCCAATCAGCCTTCATCTTTCACCCCTGAACAATTGCAGGAAATACGCAAAGCCAAATTATCACGTTTGATTTGTGATAATACAGATTTAATAGATACAGTACAAATATACCCCATGGTATTGCCCGATCATGAAATGTAAGTTAATTGTTAAACAGGTCTATGAAATGCGTTACTGTATTCTTATGTGTTTTTTTTCTTTAAAATTTCTAGTAACCCTCGTGTACCTTGTAAGAGTGGTATTATACCCTCAATTGATTTATCAAAATGGGCCGATTATGCTAGTCCCGATATAGCCTCACCTGTTTTTGTAAGTATAGTTTAACAAATGCTCCTCTTAAATGTATGATTAACGCATGCGAAATTTTTCTTTCTTCTTGCAGAACTATATTAATGAAATTCCCGATACTTTGCTAAATTTCCGTAAGAAATAATTGACGTTTCCCCAGTCCCAGCATTTCTCTTTTTATTTGTTAAATACTCAAGGAGCATTATATTCATACTCCCTCCCAAATCATCATTATATTTTTTTTATTTTTCTCTTACTCTTCGACACACATTTCTCTTAAACATTTTTTAACTTATTAAAAGTCGTCGTCCTTTGTTTACTCTCATCTCTATTCTAAGTCAATGTTATATTTTTCTCTTTGATACATGTGTTCTTAGCATTTTTCTTCATTATAATAAAAAAAGAGTATATTTTTAGTTTCACTTGCTGTCGTCATAATTGTTTTTTTTTTCGATTATTTTGCAATGAATGCTTTTCATTTATTTTATTTTTTAATTTTTGATTTTTTTGTATATATTATTTTTAAATAGTAAAAATTTTTTAAGTATTTTTTTTTTTTTCATTGTAATCATTATTTTGTTTAAACATTTAATAATAACAATTTATACAAACAATAAATGAAATAAAATATATAAATAAAAATACGAGCTGTGTTTTTCCTTCCCTGCACAAATTTCCATCCCTGACTTTGGCAAAAAAACAACATACGTCTTCAAACGTTACATGTTGTTCTTGCTCTGTTTGGTTTTTATAGATGAGCAAACTAAGTACAAAAACAACTTATACCATTTAATGCTATATGTTGTTGTTGTATTTTTGCTCATATCTCCATTATATATAGGAAAGAATGTCTCACATAATTAATGAGGATTTCGATCTCGAAGACATCTGCAGTCTTTAGAAAATTGATTTCAACTAACATACAGACAACTTCGCTATCTACAATTATCCAGGAGATCCATACTTTATAGGGTCGGAACATTTTATTATAGAATGTGGTTCTGTCTGACATAATAATCTCATCACAAGTTGAAAACAAGTAAGAATTTATAGCCGGGCATGGTAGACTATATAATACACTACACGGTTGTATGGGGGCTATACTAAATAATGGACCGATTTTAACCATTTTCAATATCGTTCGTTCTTGGGTCAAAAGAGTGCGCACAAGGTTTACATTGACACATAGATGGACGGGCGGACGGACGGACATAGCTTAACCGACTCTGAAAGTGATTCTGAGTCGGTGGGGTGATACCGATTGGTATACACCCCACTATAGTGGTGTAGGGTAATAAAACGGTCTACACATTTTCAGGGATACCCTACTCTACCAACCAATGTTAAAAAAAGAAGTTTTTATCAGACCAGGGTCCACAGATTAATAAGATAGTTTACACTCGAACGACTATCGACTATCCCTCTAGTATGAAAAGATTAAACTATCACATAACAGGTGGGATGAAATTTTTCAAGGTGACATCCTAGTCGTTGACTGTGGACAATGTCAATCGAATTTCGGAGGCCTTTGCTTAAGCAAATAGTAGGTCTCTAAAGTAAGAAAAATAAACGAAAAAGTATAGCGACTATCATTATCGATAGACAGAGCTACGGAAATATGAGAAAATTCAGAATATTATTGTTGTGGATGTCAGATCAAACCGGACAGAGACTGATTAGAACTTGAACTGACATGTAATTATATCCGTGTTACAACGCCAACAATTACCAATTCATAGACTCTCAATGTACATGCATCCTCACCGTTAAAATCGAAGAAAAGTACCAAGAACGTAATCTCCGATTTCTCACAATAGAGATTCTTTGAAGTCTACTAAGGTTCTGAGATCCGACTTAGTAAAAAGAGGCAAAGATCAAGCAAGGAACGCCAAAAGCAATTCTCACAAGGGTCATTGGAGTCTGCTCAAGACAAAGATCAAGTCAGATGTAGCACCTTTACTTCAAGTGATAGTCAACCAGAGGCAAACGGAGATACTTTGTGCAGAGGATCGTAATTGACGAACTTATACGTAGCGTTGTTGCAATATCATTGGATCTAGCATTTGATCTCAAAAACTATATCCGAGGAGTTAGTAAATTCTGGACCAAACCGGTACCAAAACAATTCCTAGACTATTAAGAACGCAGTCTGCGATTTCTCACAATATAGATTCTTTGGAGTCTGCTAAGGTTCTGAGACGCGTCCTAGTAAATAGAGGCAAAGTTCAAGCAAAGAACGTAGAACAGCTGGCTATTTCTCACAATCGAGGTTCATTGGAGCCTGCTTAAGGTTCCGATCAAGGCATATATCAAGTAAAACACAGATGTCAGATGATTGGCAGATATAGCACCGGTACTTCAAATGATAGTCAACGAGAGGCTAAAATTACTACAGACAAATGGAGATATTTTGTGGAGAAGATCGTAATTGACGAACTCATACATAGCGCAGATAATTGCAATATCTTTGAATCTAGCATTGGATCTTAAATGCTATATCCGAGGTGTTAGTACATGCTGGACCAATTCCAATTGCAGTGAATGTGTGGGTTTCTTCTCCAATTCTAACACTTATTAAACTTCAGAATAAAGCGGTAGGAATAGAAACTATTTGAAAAAGAAGTACGAGAAGCAAGTAAAATTATATATTTCTTATGTTGGATCTTGAAAACTGTATCCGGTCAGTTATTCTGAATCAAGTTAAGGATACCATTTCCAACCTGCACTGGAACTTAAAAAAACGTACGAGACATGGGTAAACAGTTAAAGATATCTGAAAGAAACGTAGGAATACGTACATTACAGGGTGTAATCAAATATGAAATCTCCATGACAGAATGTTACAGTTTTCGAACTTGAAGCAGTGAAATAATTTTGTAAAATGTTTGATTCTTAGCTTTCGTGACTGTCATATTTACTACTCAGAACTATAGTTTCATATTAAAATGGAAGGTGGTGAAAACCAAATCACATCTGACTATTTTGTGCAAGATACAAAGACTGATTTGTCTGGGTTTTACATGGTATATTAGTTCCATGTCTCACTCTAAGATGGGGACAATAAACACTATTTATTTCGCTTGTTCGTGAAGATTTCTTATATTATTTTCTTCTACCGCTTACCTATTAAGATACTTTTCAATGACTACTACATATCGCCCTTATTAGGATAGAAGTAGTCTTATAACTTACTATTAATAATATGTTATATAAAGTATTTTTATAACACATTATTAATAAGACAATAAGTTTTTTCATACGATTTCATTCAATATTTTTTAATTACTTGTAAGCAATTGTGTTAAATACTTGTCTTTAATTACATTACCATATTAAAATAATGACTTAAAATGTAAGTAAATTTTAGCATTTCAAATCCTTACTTGGTAATGGACGTTTTTGCTGGGATATTATTCTAGGACCATATCTTAATATATTATTTTTTTTTTATCTAAGAATAAAAATACTATGTTTTTATGCTTTAAGGAATATTTTATTATTGTTTTAAAAAATGTACATTTTTTACACAATAATTAAAGGTTATCGACTACACTAGATTAGGAACTATTATTTGGCATATTTGTATTAAAACTAATATGTATACGAACAAATACATGATAAACTAAACATTAAATACAAAAATCCATACTATTGTTATATTAAAAAATATACAATATTTAAATTTTTGTTAAAAAATGTCCAGCCATTCAAGTATTTACGGTTTAACATATAAACCACTTAAATTAAAACTATAAGCCTGAATATATGCTAAATAAAACTTTAAAAACTAATATTACAAATAAATTAAATAAAATAAATAATAAAATGAGGAAAAAAATACAAAACAAAATCACAGCTTAACTCAATTAAAATTAAGGAAAACATAATAATAAACTTGTTAACTTTGGTACCGAAAAAAAAGTTAACAAAGTTTTGGGTTACTTTTGTTTTCGTATACATATTAAAGAAATTACATTGACCTTAATTTCTGTTATTGGTAGTTAATTTTTTTTAAGTATCATCATCATAATCATGGGTATTTGGTTATTATCACATTTTATCATATCAACAAATCAACCTTGTTTCTTTCTCATCTCTTTATTCCAAAGGATTTATGAAAGGAGAAATGGAGTTAATATCTTCACAATCGGGTATAGCTTTGCCTTTGTATTTCAGACAGGATTCACCACAGGCTTGACCTTGGAAGTAATCGCCAAACATTTTCTTACATTGGGCACAGTTATTCAAACAGATTTGTATAAAATCAATGCCGGACATGGAGTCTAGAGGAAGGAAGAATTGTTTGAATTAATAAAAGTTATATAGTGAAATAAAGGGAAATTTAGTGAGTTAACCATGAATGATTTCCAATTAATTATTAGAAAGTCAAAGATTTCAGGTTCAGAGCTTTAATGCTTTAAGCTTTTGTTAAACTGTAATAGATTTTGTTTCAAAAAATCTTATTAACAATTAAAAGAACTTTTAGAATGTAATTTTAAAGCACTAATATTTCTACGAAAAGCTTATGCTTAATTAAATAAAGCTTTAGTAATGTGAAGTGATAAAAGCTTATTAATGTGAAGTAAAATAATGGCTTTAAGCTCCAGTATAGCAGAAGGCTTTCACTTAAAGTATATTTTTAGCAATTATTCGAGATTGATAAAAGCTCACACAATGCTTAATAAATCTAAAGTTTAAAGCTCTTGCTATGTATAAAAGATGTCATGAAAGTTTCTTTGAAGAAAACAAAGCTTTAACGAAACAATAAAAGCTTATTAATGTGACGTAAAAAGAGCCTTAAGCTACAACTATTTATCTTTGAAAACCAGTGTAACGGAATGCTTTTGAATAAAGAATATATCTAATAGCTAGAAGCAAGCAAAACTGATAAAAGCTCTTCTATCTGAAATAGAGCTTTAAGCTTTTGCTAAGTGTTACAATAGAAAGCTTTTATTAATGTTTATTTTTAGCAACTATTTGTATAAGCTTAAACAATAACTGATCTTAATTTGAGATAACATAAGAGCTTAAAGTTTCAACTAATTGAAAAGCTTTAAAGCTTTCTATTTAAAAATTGAAATCATAAAAAGCTTTTGTCAAATGGACTTTCACTTCATTTCATCAACAAAGGGGATAAAATTTGTATTATTAAACTTACCAAAACGTTTGCCGTAATGTCCAATGGAAGGTAAAGCCTGACTGACTTCAATTAGACAACAGCTGATGGCAATGACTGCGAAAGCAATGACTACAGTTTTTGAGGAGAACATATTTAAGGCTGCGAAAAAGATGAATGTTAGGTTCACGAAATTCAATAATTCTTTATTACACTTTTGACACAATTTATTTTAAGTCAAATAAACACTTTTATTAAAGTTTATTTCTTTTATTTATTCTTAATCTTTTTTAAGAGACGTTATGTTTTTCAATGCTGTAATGTTTGTTTTAAAATAAAATATTTTATTAATTTACCTGGCTTTATGTATGAAAAAAAAAACCACCGGTCATCGAACAACAGATTCTTTGTAAACAAATTAAATTAATTCATTTTGTATTTTGTCTCGAGAGTCTGTCTACTTTGTAGCGTTTTCTTACAAGAAAGCAAACGAGCCAGAAAAGTTACTAAAAAAAAGTACCAAATCAAGTTGTAACTTTTTACGCGGCTTTGTTTTACATTCAGCAGTGATTTTTTTTATTTTACGCAAAAATTAAATGGTTAATTAGCATCTGTGTTGGGTGATACACGGAAAAAAGTTGTAAGAAAGAAGGTTCTTAGCACAAAAGAACATTTTTAAGTTCCTTTCAAAAGATTTGCAAATAAACTTGATTTTTAAAGCTTTGTTTGATCTTTAAAATTAAAGCTTTATTAGACATTTAAGCTTTAAAAAGCTCAATGAAGACCTTAATCAGTAATACAAAGTATAAAAGCTTAGTTTTTACAAGCTTTATTATATTTATCTAATTAAAACTTTTAGAAGCTTTAGTAAACAATTAAGTTTTGCAATGACTAAAGCTTTCAAATATTCACATGTTAATTTAAAGCTTCTAAATATTTTACAAAATAATCAAGCTTTATAAAGTCCAACAAAGCATGGTGTATTAATTTTGTTAAAGAGTTAACATTTCTGTCTCATCCACGTTTGTCTCAGTGTTTTGTAACTGGATTTAATTAATTTAATTCATATTTAAAATAAAAAAAAATCGTTTAAGCTGTTTAACATGTTTAAACGTTTTATGTGAGTTTTACGTGTATGTTAATTTAAAACTATCAAAAGAATTATCATTTCTTTCAAATACAATTAACGTTAACCACGTGAATGATAGCAGTAAACATCACATTGGAGCAGGGACAACTTTAAGAATATTTATGGGTCAATTACTTCTAGATACTTCCAAGAATGTTTTGTACGATTTATTATTTTCAATTAGACTTGTTATACTTGTTGATTTATAAGCAGAATAATTAGGTAAATATTTATATTTTAAAAATGTCGTTAATTTGATCGAATAATAGAAATCGAAATTTGATTAGGGAAACAATTCATGGTAATAAAAAGCAAAAATAAATATTTTGATATTTACACTCAAAACAAGTGAGAGTGTTATATTCGACTGTTCCGAATCTCATATACCCACCATCAAACCGTATGCCGTAAAAGGAATGCTCCCCTGTATGTAATGTATTCTAATTTTTAGGCCAGTAATGAGTGTTAAAGTCATTTTCTGAAGGGGACCTTATATGGAGGGTAGGTTCAAATATGAACCGATCCAAAAAAAAATTTGTAGAAAGATTTTGGCTCATATGAAACTTATTCATGTCAAATTTAATCCCTATACTCATACTTCTAAAAGAGTTATGCACGTTAAAGCTGTTTTTTGGAGGTCCACTTGTATGGAGGCTAATCGAAAACGTGGACCGATATTACCCATTTTTAATAGCAAACAAACCTTAGCAATAGAAAATATTTATGCAAAATTCCAGCTGTCTAGCTCCTCCCGTGTGGTCCCTATCGTGATTTCAACGGACAGACGGACGGACATAACTACATGGGGGTCTATGACCAATATTTCGATGTGTTACAAACGGAATGACAAAATCAATATACCCCCCATCTTTTTTGACGGCGGGTACAAAAAAAATTGAGTAATCCATACTCAAAACAATCCGAAGTGGTTTCAGAAGTACGTTGAATTCGATTTTCCTTAAACCAAATACTAAATACTTGATTCAATTATGGATTCGTTAAGTAAGAAGAATCTAATTCAAGCCTTTTTTGAGTCAAAGTCATCTTAGAGTGTACTTATATGGAGAATTTTCGGCTTGATTTAAGCTCAAATGCATTATTGATTTGAGATAAAATTAAGATTGATTTAAGAATGTAAAATATTGAATTAATTCCAAAATGGACTTGATTTGAGTTTGATTATTACTTGATTTTAGAATTTAGAACACTTCAGAAAAGAAGTTAATTACAAATTAAGAATGAGCGATTATTTTAAGTAATAAAATCGTTAGATATTCTGTGTATATTAAACATTTTTCATCCTGAAATGTAAATGTAGGTTGATACACAGAGGGAAAAAGAAATATACACGCCTGGTACCAAATTGACACCAAAAGTGTCAACTTGGTCAACACTATTGAATGTTGACAACGCAACGTTGTCAATATTGCAACAATTCGTTGTCGAAATCTAAATTTTATACACATCCGTTGTCTAAATGATAACAAACGTGGTAAGCTCACTATTGACAACGGATTGTTTGTCAATAGTGAGCTTGTTGTCCTACGTATGTATATACTTTGACAACGGATGGTATTGAAAAATTATAAACAGTTTGGTGTCAACTTGTTACCAGACGTGTATATTTGTTTTTTCCCTCTGTGTAGGAACAATTCATTTAATTTTAATAAATTTTAATATTAGAACTGTCACTCCAGTGTAACAGTTCTCTAGATTTTAGTTAAAACCTCAAAAATGTTTAGTATTGTTAGCTTCTGATGTAGAGAGATAGAGAGAGAGAGCTTACGTAAGTGTGAAAACAGAGAGCTATTATGGAACTATTTTGCCTATGCATCACTTGCAAGCTTAATTAGATGTGAAAAGAAATATATATTTGCCGATAATAGATTTAAGCCTGAGTAAAAAAATGAAGCTCTTTGGCTGGCTCTGCTAGTTTTTTTTACATGCGTGAGCTTACACATTAATGTACTTGTGAAGGCAGGAGTGCAAGAAAGCTCATAAGAGAGCTTTTTGAGTATTGCAGATTTGAATCGCTTGTAGCGTTTTAATCTCTATCAGTAAAGTGTAAAATTGTTGATATTGCTTTATTTTCTTAGGTAACTAACCTGATCTATTAATTCATTTTATAACAGATCGATTATTGAAAGTATTATTTATATTTAAATAATAATTAAAATATTTGATCCAGTTAATACTGGTGTTAAAAACACAAATATTTTAAGTTTGTTTACCAGCTTAACAAGATATTGTTTTGATTTATGTTTATTTAATTTAATTAAGAACGAATAATATTAATTAAATGACTAATAAGACAAATATTAACTTTAAATATTTCCTAGCGGCTCAAAGTTAATTTTGTTTGTTTTAAAAAACAGGTTTAAAAAATTTTCTCACGTTTTAAATGCAAATTAAAAACGTAGTATTTTTTTTTTTTGACTTAATAAATCATTAAACTTTAATGAATTCTTTTTTGTTTTAATTATTATTTATGTTTTGATAGAAGACAACATAGCCAATATAAACCCGCCGCCATTAAATATTTAAATTTATTTAAGCGCGTGGCAAAAATAAGCTAAAAATAGCACAAAAACCAGCATTAAGTAAAAAACATCCAGTTTTGTAAGAATTTATTCACTACGACTGTGCGAATTGTAATGAAATGGAATTCCATGAAGAACTGAGGGAGGAATGAATGTGTTGATTGGCGTCAATCAAGATCCGTTTCATAGGTATAGTTAAGTAAAAGGAGAAACAAAAAGAAACTCAAGAACTGATCAGTTACTGTATAATTTCTTATAAACAAAGACCGAAGTTGTTTAAGTTTCAATTTTCTTGCAACAATACATATTTTATTTTCTTTAATGACAATTTTGTTTTGTGTTTTTCCTTCGTATTCTATTTCCTGATATCAAAAAAAAAAAAATGCTGTCTGTTATAAAGGGGATTTTTTTGGAAATTTGTTTACAATAAATTATTTTAATTGCAATTATAGACGAGTTATATTGAGGTTTACTAGCAGTATTAACTGAACATTGGGTACAAGTCCCCTACAATGAATACTGTTGGATTTGGAATGATAGGGAAAAGATGAAATGATCTTCCACCTTCGCGCCGTAATAGATTGCTTGACAACCACACTTTATTCATCCTTGGTGAGTTATCTGGATCAAGACTTAATGTCTTATTTCGGAATAAGAATACCACATGATATGAATAATTATACATCTGACCGATCTGATCAATACGAAGTCCTATCGACTTAACTTAAACGTTTGCGAGTAGTAAACTGCCACGATAACCAACCACCATTGCTTCTAAAACGTTAGTTTACTTAAACTGTATGACATACTACGATACAACGATACAATACCAATTGTGAATAGTACATACATATACCTATATGTGTTAACCGTTGTAGATGTCAATTTTTGGCCGATTATAACAGTTGAAGTTAACGATTGTATTGTGTTGATTCATGTCCTTTAAAATAACCGATAAAACTATTAAAGTTTGAAACATATTTACTTTAAATTTGATCGTTAAACTTAAAACTGTAGTTCAATAAAAAGTCAATATCTTTATTAAAGAAATGTGTAGGTGTTGCTGCTGTTAACTATCATCTTACAATTGCCCGCTAATATTCACAAATTTGCTAATTATATTTAAACAAACGTGTTTATTTGACTTAATATTTTTTTTTGCACATTTTAATAATTTTTTATTTCTTAATCACCACACACACACACAAAATAAAACTCACTTGATATTTTTGATTGATTTGAATAAGATTTTATTGGTCGTTTGGTAGTTTTGTTGGCTTAAACAACTAGTGTTTGTTAAGACCGTTTATTTGAAACTGATGTCTTTTGTTTCAAAAGACCTGGTCTTTTATAGTAAAATTTCATCTTGAGTTTTTAGATTGTTTTTTTTTTTTTTTTGCAAATAGTATTAGAATCGGAAGTACATTAGTTGACAAAAAAGTACTTAAGTATCAATTTAAGTTAATTATTTTAATAAGTAATTGAATTTTATTTATACTTCCGTTTTAATTGCAAATATTTTTGTTTAAGTAAAATGCTAAAGTGAAACTCTTCGTGGGGGTGTAATAAGATCAATTTGTAATTAGCTTAAAAATAGGGGAAGGAATTTATTTTCTCTTTAAAAACTAAAAAGATAAGGTTTTAGTAAATAAATCAAATCAATGCATATAAATCCAGGAAAAGTGTTATATATTGTACAATGTACGTATATTCACAGAGGGAAAAAGAAATATACACGCCTGGCACCAAATTGACACCAAAGAGTTTATAATTTTTCAATACCATCCGTTGTCAAAGTATACACATACGTACGACAACACTATGTAATGTTGACAACATTGCAACATTTCGTTGTAGAAATATAAATTTTATACACGTCCATTGACTAAATGTTAACAAACGTGGAATGATCACTATTGACAAACAATCCGTTGCCGATAGTGAGTTTACCACATTTGTTATCATTTAGACAGCAAATGTGTATAAAATTTAGATTTCGACAACGAATTGTTGCAATGTAGACAACGTTGCGTTGTCAACATTACATAGTGTTGTCGCACGTATGTATATACTTTGACAACGGATGTTATTGAACAATTAAAAACTCTTTGGTGTCAATTTAGTACCAGGCGTGTATATATTTCCTTTTTCCTCTGTGTTTGTATTTTGCAAATTTCAATAACAAAATACAAATGTATATACTTTTTGATCCTTTTGAATTTTTCGTTTTAAAAAATCTTACCAAACCTCTAAGTTATTCTAGTGAGTTTTAAGAAACTAACATTTGACTTGTTCGCATCAAGTTTGAGTATAATAATCTCTCCTTGAACCATTGTTATTGGTGGAACTTAATAATATAGGATATTGTACAGGATCGAACATTTGAAAACGGAAGTATTTATGTGAAACTTATTAATTTAGTTATCTGATCTGTGGAAATTTTTTGCATCATTCCTATTGGATCGCGAAACCTTTCTAGAAACAATTCATGGTAATAAAAAAATATTTATTCAAGTATGGATTCGTTAGGTAAACGAATCTAATTTTAGCCTTTTTTGAGTCAAAGTGATTTTATAGTGTACTTATTTGGAGAATTTTCGGCTTGATTTAAGCTCAAATGCATTATTGATTTGAGATAAAATTAAGATTGATTTAAGAATGTAAAATATTGAATTAATTCCAAAATGGACTTGATTTGAGTTTGATTAGTACTTGATTTTAGAACATTTCAGAAAAGAAGTTAATTACAAATTACTAATATACATACGCATTAGCATTTCAACAGACATTAAATTTGGTGATTTGTCAAAAACTCAACAACTTATTGAAAAAAAAAATCTTTAACTAAATGGGAAGTATAACTCGTTTAAAAAGAGATTTTCATATTCAGTTAAAGAATTTTTACTATCGATTTGTTTAATCAATCTTGATTAGTAAATACTTTAAGAATGAGTAATTATTTTAAGTAATCAAATCGTTCTTAAAATTTAAAGTACGTATTTTTCTTTCTTTGTATATTAAACATTGTTAAAAATATGTGTGAGAGAATCCCATAAGGCCTCTTGGGGTGACCCTGATGAGAACAAGACGAACAAGTAAGAGTGTTATATTCGGCTATGCCGAATCTTATATACCCACCATCAAACCTCGTTTGACTCGAATGAAACTTACTTATGTCGAATTTCATCTATATACTCGTATATTTAGGCCAGTTATAAGCGTTAAAGTAATTTTCTGAAGGGGACCATATATAGGGGGGTAGGGTCAATTATGGGTCGATCCTCATAAAATTTGGTAGATAGAATTTGGTTCGTATTAAATTTATTTGTGTCGAATTTCATCGCTACACTCGTATTTTTAAACCATTAATGAGCGTTGCAGTCATTTTCTGAAGGGGACCTTATATGGGGGGTAGGGTCAATCATGGACCGATCCTCATAAAATTTTTTAGATAGATTTTGACTCGTATGAAACTTACTTATGTCGAATTTCATCTATATACTAGTATTTTTAAGCCAGTAATGAGCGTTAAAGTCATTTTCTGAAGGGGACCTTATATGGGGGGTAGGGTCAGTTATGGACCGATCCTCATAAAATTTCGCATATTGATTTTGGATCATAAGAAACTTACTTATGTCGAATTTCATCGCTATATTCGTATTTTTAAACAAGTTATGGCTGTTAAAGCTGCTTTTCGAGGGGCCACTTGTATGGGGGCTATCCGAAAACGTGGACCGATATTGCCCATTTTCAATACCAAACAGACCTTACCTATAAGAAATATTTATGTGAAATTTCAACCCTCTAGCTCTTTCCATTCGGACTCTATCGTGCTTTCAACAGACAGACAGACAGACAGACGGACGGACGGACGGACAGACGGACAGACGGACAGACATGGCTAGATCGTCTTAGAATTTAATGAGGACCCAGAATATATATACTTTTGTGGGTCTATGACCAATATTTCTATGTGTTACAAACGGAATGACAAAATCAATATACCCCCCATCTTTTTTGATGGTGGGTATAAAAATCTCCTCAAAATGAGCAAGTCTGACGTTAGTATGATGGTACGTTAGTATGATGGTACGTTAGTATGATGGTACGTATTCAGACGAATGTTGAGCATGTAGAGAGGATAGTGAAACTCTGGATCACTTTCATTGCTACTGTCAAGCATTCGTCGAAGTTAAATCCAAGTATCTTCGATGTGATGTTATTCCGGAAATAACATTCCTGACTAAAACTGATTGGAAAATTCTTAGGAATTACGTCCAGGAAACTGAGTTTCTGAACATTTAAAAATAATATACTCAGTGAACATTTTTTGTTGTTCATGTGAAACTTATTAATTTAGTTATCTGATCTGTGGAAATTTTTTGCATCATTCCTATTGGATCGCGAAACCTTTCGAGAAAATAATAAGGATCGACAATTTTGAATAAAAAACAAGTAGGAAAGTATAGTCGGGCAATAAATATATGAGGAAAGAGGGATAACAATCAATCCTTCAAAAACTATCCTTGTACCATTTACAAGACGCAGATCTCTGAGACTTATTAAGCCTGAGACTTATTAAGCCGACTCTAATCGGGACTATTATTAAGTTCTCTGAGGAAGTTAAATACTTAGGAATCATTCTTGACAAAACCCCAAATTGGAACTCGCATGTATACAGTACGCTCAATAGGGCCATTAGCGCATTATATGCCTGTCAAAGACTCTTTGGGAATTCATGGGGTTTAAAACCGAAAATGATCTCATGGACATTTAATATCATAATAAAGCCCATACTGACTTGTGATATCTTAGTCTGGGGGAAAAATGTGAAGCAGGCCAACACTCGGGCTTCTCTGGACAAACTTTATCGTCTCGTCTATTACGGTGGCCTTGAGAACATGTCCTACATATGCCATTGGGACTATTCCTCACATACCAGTTTTGGATATTCTTATTAAAAAAGAGGCTTGTAAATCAGCCTACCGGAATACCGGCCAGTTTAAGAACAGATGACATAGAAGGGCTATAAGTATATTCAAATAATTCATCAACGTCCCATATATCCGCGCCCATGATTGTGGGTCACCAACATCGAGTTTTAAGCGTTCCTTCGAGGTTATGATACCTGAAAGGAACAAATGGGCCAATCAAACATGGTGGCAGCAAGATGCTGATTAAGTATGGTTTACTGACGGGTCCAAACACACAGATGGTGATACTGGAGAAGGCATTTGTGGTCCTAACTTCCAGGGAAAATATCCCTCAAACTTTCATGTGGAAATCTACACCATCTTCATCTGTGCTAGAGAGTGCGTGAGGAGAAGGTTAAGGGCTCTGAGAATTTACATAATGTCAGACAGCCAAGCAGCACTCAAGGCGTTACTTTCGTATGAAGTTAGGTCGGGTGTTGTGATGGATTGTGTGTCCTTATTGAATGTACTAGGTAAACACAATACATTAACAATATGTTGGGTAACCGGCTTAAATATTAATACTACTAAATTTAAATGCATAGCTTAGTAATTGAACACAGATCTACTAATGCTTAAGCGTTTATTCGATCTTATAAAATTTTTGAATTATTTATATTTATTGAAAATTAAATAAAGAGACATAGTTTATAAATAAATCGATCCAGAAAATAATTCAAGGCCAATTCTAGGACTATCCAGCCATGTTAAAAAAGGTCTAAAATTGGCCTATTTTTGATATTTGATGGACCAGAAGTTCCATACTTGTCATGGATTGTATTGGTTTTCAGCTTGAGAATACAAACAAAAACATTATTTGTAACCACTTTTTAACAAAACTAGCGTGTATTTTGTTCTGCTATAGTCATTCGTAATATGTGTATCATTGTTGTTAAAATCGTCTTTGAAATTAGTTATACCGCAATATGAATACATATTTATATACACTAGTGGCCGAAACTAAAGCAACCGATGTTTTATTTATGTCGAATCGTTTATAAAATTTTTCACGCTGAGGATGGAATTTTAAATTTGCTCTTTGTTTTAACTAAAAAATAATAAGAAAATTTTCCGAATTTTTTTTTCGTTAAATATGATTTATATATACAGAAAAAAATTCTTCCTAGCTTTAAATTGGCAAAAACTAAAACAACTTCTTTTTTTTAAATAATTTTTAACATAATATTTCATAGCATATCCACACTTTTTTTTATAGCAGGACCACATCTGGGAGTCATAGAAGACTTCAGGAACATTAATTGATCCTTTGAAATGTTGTTCCATGGGTATTTTATGTGATCAAAGATAATTTGTAATTTAGTTTTTCTATCTCATTATAT